AAAAAAAAAAAAGTTCTTTATTATTTTTTTTCTAGTAATTTTATTATTTCAAAAATTTGAACATTAAGCATCAATGCATTTTTCATATGTAGGCTACACAATTTTCATCATCAGTGTTGCAGTTGTTGCCGTTGTCACTTACACTTTGACATCGCCGTAATCTTCATCAATTTCCTTATTGTTATGCAGTTCTTCCAATAACTGCACTTTAAATTTTCCTTCTTCTTCATCATCATCATCTTCTTCTTCTCCTTCTTCTTTGTTTCTTACATTTATCTTCATGTTTAATCATAGAACAGTTACACTAAACAATATGTAAAAGCATATATTTATTTACAGAACAGAAAATAGCAAAAAAAAAGAGAAGAAAAAAAGGAAAGAACTGAAAAGCCAGTTGTATCAAAAAAAAGCAAAAACCTCAATTTTTCCGTCATTTAAATTCTATATTTTTAAGAGAGTCATTTTTTTTTCTGTTTTTTTTTTTTTGATTTTGGTACAGTTATTGTAATCAACAAATGTTATAAGATTCGATTATGTTCGCGTGTTGTTGTTTACAGACTATAGAAGCTAACTGCTCAAACATAAACACACAGATCAATAAACAAATATCGGTCAAGCGATAGGCACCAGCGATAAACCCACAACAATATGATTAACTTCTAAACTATTGAAGAATAGACAAACCATATTGTTGGCCACAGAATAGATAGGGTTTTTTTGTAGTTGGTTATTATGCATAATACTTTTTCTTTTTTTTTTTACGTCGAATAGTAATTTAAGCTTTTCTATTGAAAAAAAATTTTTTTTTTTGCAAATGTTTTTTTAAAAAAAAATTTTTGAACAATTTTTTTTTTTGCATTTTAAAAAATTTTTGAACTTGCACTGATGATAATGCTGCTGCTGTTGGTGCTGACGATTATGATAATATATGAAACATAAATAAACTATAAATCTATTTACCAAAAACTTTTTTTTATGAATTTATTAACTTAACATATTATTTCTGCTTTCTTCTTCTTCTCCTTCTTCTTCTTCTTCTTCTTCTTCTGCTTCCACATCGTTATTTTGAATGTAAAAAACAAAAATTTTTTTTCTTAAATTTTCTTCTTGTTATTTCTCATTATAAGAAGTTTAACTGTTGTGAAAGATTTGAACATATCTTTAACATTTCTTGTCATATACAGAGTAAAAATTTGTCTTAACTGTAACAAAAATATGGCCAAATGTTTGCCAATGTAGTTTTGACCTGTGCAGCAGTTTAAGGCTGTTGTTACCAATTTGGTCAACTGTCAAAACTGAAAATGGTTTATTTTCAATTCTTTACATTTTTTTTTTTTGGTGCTTACTACTGATG